TTTTTTCCATTTTACAGGTGTAGAAAAGCACGGCCTCTTTCTTGACGAGAGGCTATTAGAAGGTCCGCTATTTGCTCCACTGGTTCACCCTCCTGCAAAAATAGCTGCCGGAAGTGGAGAAAAACAGTACTCTGCTAGAACAAAGAAGCGCAAGAGACCTCATGCGGTTATGCCAGTGAAGAAGTAGAGGTGATGTAGGAGCCTCCACCGTGTTTTCTTGAGTCTAATAAGCTTTTCTGGAGATTTCTGCTTTTGATTTCTTTGGGGTTCATCCAATTTTCTGTTTGTCATCCATGTAGTGCAACGTTGATAGGCAACAATGTGGATTTATAAATCAACCAACTCGTGTGCTAAGATCAAGTAAAAGAGTATTGCATGGGGTTGAAGGGTAATTGGCAACGAGGTGATGACATTTGTTCTGTTTGTCATTATGGGGGTAAGTGAACTAGTTTGATGTGACCAATGTCCATCCTCATTCCATACAAGTTGCCTTGGTTTAGAGCTACGTTACCTCTTGTATGATCATTAGTTTGTTCTTTGGAAATATTCTGTTAATTCAGTTATTTTTCCTTTGGAATTTTCTTTTGAAGTGGCATGAACTCTGGCTCTTATAGAGTGTTCCAGATGGTGCCTAGTTCTGCCCATCATGTTATTGTGGAATTTGTGGCCAAAGCAAGTTCAAGGAAGTTGATGAAAATTCTGTTGATGATAGAGTTGTCTGCTGTAGCCAGTGCGAGCACAATTATAGGTTGCTTTTCTCTGTTTTCTCTCAGGTTTATATTCATTTTGAAGCATTTCTTTTGCAGACCTTGTCTATTTGTTTTGAACCTGTCAAAGAACTCTATGCCGGGGGAGATCCTTCTAAGATATTATATTCAATATAGAGGGTGAGTAATTCTTACTTTGATGAAGCCATCTTGCCAACTTTAATTTATTAAATCAGTAACAGGCTTCTGACCTGATTCTTGTTAGATTTAGGAATTTTTTTATGCCATTGGTTTACACTGCCTGATTCAGGATTTTTTTGCTTGTCCTTGAGCTAATTATTTTTCCAACACCCCGGGGTTTTTGCCAGTATTGATTCAGGTGAGAATAGTAGTGGCACCAAGGAACAGGTTTCTCTTGTCAAGTATTATAAGCAAAGGAGGAAATTTGCCAGTGTTGCTCCAAGTGACAGAAGTGGTAGTGCCAAACAACAGATGCCTCTTCTCAAGTACTAAGAACGAAGGAGGAAATTTGCTAGTATTAATCCAGGTGACAGCACTGGTACTGGCACCTAAGAACAAGTTTCTCTTGTCAAGTACCTTGAGCGAAGGGGGAAATTTGCTAGTATTGGTCCAGGTGACAGTAGCAGTGGTACTAAACCACAGGCTCATCTTCTCAAGAACTACTATAAGCGAAAGAGGAAATTTTCTATTATCAAACCACACGTTCCACTTCTCAAGTTCTTTAACTCCGAAGGAGGAAATTTTCCATTATTGATCCTGGCGGTACCAAAGAACATTTTGGCATGTGTTGCCCTTCACAAGAACCGTAAGCGAGGGAGGAAATCAGCCAGTGAGAGCTGAGTTCTGTTTCATTTCCACAGACTATTGCTAAATCACATCAAATTGTTTCACTTCAAGCTACTCCTAACAGTGTTTTTGTAGATAGGTTAAACTTTCATTTTGTACGGACACACGCACAATGGCACTTGTCAAACTCAGTTCATACTTAGGTATGTAATAATTTTGGAGACGTAGATGTGTATGTAATTGGTTCAATTCCATAAACTTAAACTTTGGTATGTAAGTTGTTACTGTGGCTGGAAATTTGGCAGTCATTTCTTACGTTCAAATTTTTTTAAAGCCTTTTAATATGGATTGTCTATACTTTTTCCTTTCTCTCATATGATCCCAAAAGATGTGTGAAATACAAAGTTTGGACAATAGTTTAACATAATGTGTTGTCTATGTCATGTGGTGAAGGAAAAGCAAATAACATTTGCTTTAATAAGAGAAAAATGCAAAACCTGCATATGGAAAGTAGAAACCCTGCTTTTTTTTCATGTAGCGACTGTTCTTCTCTTTTATAATTAGACTCAAGATGATATGGGAATCAAGCCTACCAGACCCAAACCAAAATAAAAACATCAAACCCCCAATACAAGGCAACTTGGAGAGCCTTGTGCCTTAGCCAATGAAAAACTCGGTTTCCCTACTAAAACCTTTCCCTTGATGATTGTGGGTAAGATGAAGTTGCAGTGGCAGACAAAAGAATGGTAGTCTGAGTTCAAAGTTTCAAATCCAACGTCAACACCAACCCATAAACCTCACGTGGAGCCCGTCGGCCAGCTACCTCGTTCACATTTGCCGAACAAAACAAGGCCCCCACCATTTTATTATTTTACATACGACACTCGACAGGACCTGTCTATGCCCTACTTCCCTTCTCTTTTATACCAGTATCCCATAGTATAGCATATATCTTCCCTCCCTCTCCCCTACCCCTCTTTTCCTTTCCTTTCCTTTCCTTTCCTTTCCTTTGTAGTCCGTGCAATGGCTCTTCTTTCCTCCCAATCTCCATGTCATCTTCTTTGGTCATGTTCGACCCTTGTTTTCTTAGTTCTGCTTCGATCTGATACTGCTTCTTCAGCTCTGATACTGACCTTGAGGAACCATCATAACAGACATCAACATAGAAGACCAATGTTCCAGACCAACCAAAGCACATGTGCTCTGTTTGCAGGCACTTGGGTGTATGATGAAAGCTACCCACTTTATCAATACTCAAGCTGTCCCACTATAGACCCAGAATTCAATTGCCAAAAGTACGGCAGACCCGACTCCGATTACCTCAAATACAGATGGCAGCCTCTCAATTGTGAGCTTCCCAGGTACCATACCATTGTGCCCTGCTTCAGTCAGGCCTTCCTTGCTGTCCAGTGTTTGTAAAATTTGTGGTAATTCTTGTTGTAGCATGTTCATGGTAGGTTCAATGGGCTCGAGTTCTTGATGAAGATGAGAGGGAAAACGGTGATGTTTGTGGGTGACTCGCTGGGGAAGAATCAATGGGAGTCTTTGATTTGCTTGATTTCATCTGCGGCGCCGCGAACCGAGACGCAGCGATCAGGAGGAGATCCCCTCTCCACCTTCAAGTTCTTGGTTAGTCTATGATATCAAAAACTGTACCTTTTTCCTACTTTTCAGATCTTGCAAGTGTTCTACAGTGGTGGGAAGTAGTAGTAGTAATAAGCATTAAGCTATTTCTTTTCATTTAACTTTACTAAATTTTAAAGTCAAAAAAGTTGTTCCAAGTACTGTACATAATGTCATGGCCTTTAGCAGGAAAGTTGGTTGGGTTAAGGTGTGGGAAAGGATCTTTTACTGTTTGAGGGTCCCGGAAGTGCTGTGTGAGTGTATGACAACTCACAACTGCAAGGCAGTACGAACTGGGAAGAACGAAAGCAACTTATTGACTCTGGATTGGTGAATGCAGGATTATGATTTGTCTGTGGCATATTATCGAGCTCCTTATCTAGTGGACATAGATGTGGTACAAGGGAGGAGAATCCTGAGGCTAGAAGACATATCCAACAACGGAAATGCGTGGAGGGTTGCTGATGTGCTGTTGTTCAACACAGGGCACTGGTGGAACCACAAAGGATCTCTCCAAGGGTATGCAAAAATTGCAATTTCTTTACAATTATCTGTTTGCTTCAGCTGGAAGTGAAAATCCCAATCTAGGGTTTGCTTAATTCGATTGGTTTGAGGTGAATTCTTCACAGGTGGGATCTCATAGAATCAGGAGGCATATATTACCAGGACATGGACCGCCTGGTTGCTTTAGAAAAAGGACTGAGAACATGGGCCAATTGGGTAGACTCCAATGTTGACAGAACCAGAACCAGAGTCTTTTTCCAGTCCATTTCTCCCACACACAATGAGTAGGTTTCTCTCCCTTCTCCCTGAGTACAATAATTGATTATTTTCTGGGGTAATTTAGGCTTCATTATCGTGTGTAATGGTAGGAAATTAAACTCAAAAGCATTAAAACTTCTGTTCACCCTGAGCGGTTCTACTGGCTGCTAGCAGGCTCCAAACTGTGTTCAGATTGATCCATTCTAAATATTGATTGAAGAGATTGAACAATAAAGAACAGGAAATAACGTAGAAGGTTTTTTAACTTATGACTTTAGAGCACAAGTTATAGTAAAATTAATTGCATTTTTTTAATAAATTTTCATTAAAAAAGTGTAAAAGTAGATACTATTTCTAGTAGCAATGGGACTTGAATGATTTTAAGGAAGTAATTCATTTATTGATCTTAACTCGCAGCCTGTATTTCACCTCTGTGACATCATGAATGGAATCTGAAATATGTTATGGAGTCAAGGACATTAAAAATATAGTACTACAAAGAAATGGCAGTCATCTGACCAATCTCTTATATGCTTTAGTGTAGATATTTTACTGCATTCTTATTTACAATTGGAATCCCGATGAAACATTGAGGAAACGAGTTTTTAAATTAACTTTTATTTGTTGCTTTTTCCTGTGTGTGGAAAGTGACCTTTACATGCCTTTCGTCTCATAAACGCCAATGGGATATAATGTGCATAACATACTGTTCTGGTCTGATCACTGGTGTTTGATCTAATGATTCAATTATCTGGTTGATGGTATTTGACAGTCCAAATGAATGGCAAACAGTAACAACAGCAACAACGACAAAAAACTGCTATGGAGAAACGGTGCCAATGAGTGGAACAACATACCCCACTGGAGAATACCCTGAGCTTATGAGGGTGGAGGATGAAGTAATCAGGGATATGCACACTCCTGTATATGTATTGGACATAACCATGCTTTCTGAGCTAAGGAAAGATGGGCATCCCTCAATTTACAGTGGTGATTTGAGTCCTGGCCAAAAGGCTAACCCATATCAGTCTGCAGATTGCAGCCATTGGTGCATCCCTGGATTGCCTGATACTTGGAACCAACTATTCTATACTGTCTTATTCTACTAATTTTGATTATATGTTTACAGAGAGTGAGCAGAACGGCAATTACTCTCTGCATCATTTATCACTTGTTCTTATGAAACTTTAGATTAGGGTAATCTCTTTTGCAAAGTAAGCATTTATTATTTCTGAAGAGAAATTACATGTTCATGTCTCGAATCCAGAATCTTTAACAGGGTAGTGGCGTCCATGCCACATTACAAAAGGGAAGATTCGCGTTAATTGTAACTACCTCTAGTAAACACATATAACACTCCCCAAAACGGATGGATGGTTCACAAAGCATATATTATGCAGGCAGAGCATCTAAGGTTTCATTGATGCCATAAACCCTATTCTTAGATTGTCCTTTCTTGCCGGAAGCGTTAGCTTCGTATGGAAAGTTCCTGAGCAGTGGTGACTTCATTAATACCTTGTAAAGTATGAATAATCTTCGACGGCATATTGGCAGCACCGGTAGTGGGTGGCTGTAAGTCGTAGGCCGAGAGATGGACTCCCAATGCGGCCCTTCCAGAAGGATCAAGATTGTTTGACCAGGCAGCATCCCACTCAACAGCTTTGGCTGTGCTGCATGCCACGCTCGCTCCTCCTGGTACACTCAATCTGGCCGAGTTCTGTAAGAACAAATGGTGAAAGAGAACCAAATTAATTATCTATAATACTGTCACCAATCATAACCTATCATACAGGAAATTCAGACAATTCACCTGAGGGAAGAACCTCTCAAAAATCATCCTGTAGTAATAGGCTTCTTCTGTAGTTGGCGTATTATGAGGAAAGATGTGTGCAGCATTTTGCATCATCTTATTTGTCACCTGAAAGTATAACAGAAGCATTAAAACTCTATTCAGAAATGGTAATTGATGCAACCATACTTTAGGTTCTAGAAAAGATGAGAAAGTTCAAGAGAGAACAAAATGAATATACATGTTCAGCAGCATGGGCTTTGAGACCATCAATCCAGCTATAGCCAACACCATCACTAAACTGTTCTTTTTGCCTGTATAGGATGTGCTGCATGCATCAAACAATACATGTTAGTTGAGTACTAAATTTGACCAACAAATACCAAAGGCACAAGGTAAGCAAACAAAAGACCTTTGGCAGATAGGGGCGCTCTTCATCATCAAAGGCCCTTCTAAGAACCCACTTCTCAATGTGTCCTTGGTCTGGTTTTATCTGAAATTGATCCAAAAATACTAATAAGAATTTCAGATAAGTCCTTAAAACCAGCAGTTTAAGTAACAAAAATAGAAGATCTCTAATTTGTTTACCATTTTCCATTCAGGATCTATAGCCATAGCAACATTAATAAATTCTTTATCCAAGAAAGGGACACGAGCTTCCAATCCCCAAGCAGAGGTTGATTTGTTAGCTCTCAGGCAGTCATACTGATGCAGCGCCTTTATCTGCATACAGATACAGTTAGCAAAATACAATTACTTTCTGTTGGATTATATCTAACTCCTGTGGAGGTATTTATACCTTGCGACATGTTTCCTGATGGAACTCTTCCTTATTTGGTGCCTTGTGGAAGTACAAATAACCACCAAAAATCTCATCAGACCCTTCACCAGAAATGACCATCTTCACCCCTAGTGACTTAATCTTACGCGACATGAGGAACATAGGAGTGCTTGCTCTGATTGTTGTGACATCGTATGTCTCAATGTGGTATATAACATCTTCAATGGCATCAATTCCGTCCTGCCACATTCCAAGAACAAAATTTTGGTTTAGGGTAATGTAGCCAAAAACTCTTGGATTTGAAAACACTACTTCCATTTAGTTTCTATTTAATACCTGAACAGTGAAGTGAAACTCATGATGAACAGTGCCCAGATAGTCTGCCACTTCCTTTGCAGACTTTAAGTCTGGTGAACCCTGTCAATTCATACAGTAGAAAACAAATTTAAGGACCAAAAATCTATACCTTAAGGTCCCATCCAAAAGATGCATAAATTACCTCTAGGCCAACACAGAAAGAATGGAGTTGTGCTCCCCATTGTCTGGCTGCCTTTGTGCCAGCCAAGTAGCGAGCTGTGATAGAAGCAACCAAAGATGAATCAAGGCCCCCAGAGAGCAGAACTCCAAAGGGAACATCAGTCATCAGCCTTTTGATTACAGCCTGCAAATATTGGAGATCCAATTAACATGTGAGCTATAATTTTCAAAAGAGTAATATATCTATTTGAAATACATATTAGCAAGGCTGCAACACATGCATCTTACATTTTCAAAGGCATGTCTTAGAGCAAGTGGGTCATATGGAGTTGATGGAATGTCCTCAGAGAACCATGGAGGGTTGTACCATCTCCTAAATCCACCTAATTTGCTAGAGTACAAGTGACCAGGAGGAAAGGTCTCAAAATGTTCACAATCATCATTCAATCCTTTAAGTTCTGATGATATCCAAACCGAACCTGAGTATAACAGTTAGAAAATAAATCAATCAAACAAATATGCATACAAATTTCAGTGATGTAGAGATACTATGCACAAAGTTACTTCAAAACAAGATTTTATTACCATCTAGTCCCCAGCCAATATAGAGTGAGGTTACCCCAATGGCATCACGGGCAGCAATGAAGCTATTATCGTGAGTATCCAACAGTACAAATGAAAATATTCCGTCCAACATGTCCACAAAATTTTCTCCATACTCCTCATACTATCAAAGTGGTTAAAGCAACAAATTTTCCTTGTCAGCAAAAAAACAACTCAAGGTAATTTTAATCCAAAAAAGAAAAAAAAATCAATCCTTTCAAGTTAATTTAACAGTTTCATACAATTTTCATTATTGAGATGACAAGGGTTGAAACAAAGTATTAATTGGTCTGAATAAAATTAGCCTATAATTGGCATCAAAGGCAGTGACATATTGTACAACAAGCTGCAAGTGCTGAATGGTCTCCGAAGCTTGCAGAAATGAATGACATTAGAAAATATGACAGGCTCATTTGACCTACCAGATGGGCAATAACATCGCAATCGCTGCCAGTACGGAATTTGTGATTTGTCAAGCGCTGTCTCAGCTCTTCATGGTTGTAAATCTCTCCATTTACCTGGTTGTTAATTCATACTATTAGCAACAACTCAAATTTTATAAGTACAACTGCCTAAAATATCTTGCTCTAACAATAGAAACACTGGTGCTACACAAAAACAATAATATTGGAAAACAACACAAAGTCAGCCTAAGGATACAAAGGACAGGGCCCAAGGTTGAGTCCCCGTGCCCCTTTGCCACTTGAATGTACAAAATTATAGCATAGAAAATTGAAAGCAGTCTTACTCTTACTTACCGTGACAGCAATGGTTTTGTCTTCATTAAAAAGAGGCTGATCGCCAGAAGCAGGATCAATGATAGCTAAGCGTTGATGTGCCAAATAGCAATCTCCATGCTGATAGAGCCCACTCCAGTCCGGACCTCGGTGCTTCAATCTGTCACAACATCAAAGCAAGCATGTTCATCATTATAAAAACAACAAACAACAAAAAGGAAGCATGTTAAATTGTAGGTCTGTGTTCATTTCCCCCATTCAATTTTCCAAATAATTGTCATTTATGTTCCCACATCCAAAATGACATGTATTCTCCTGCGTTTATGTTCGATGTTTTCAATAAAGTTCAAAAATTTAACCCCACATGCTTATAGTACTATGCAAGTTGTGAACTTTCCCAGCAAATTTTGTGATTTTCTCGTTCAGTATTAATTATCTTCCCTGGATACTGGATCGATCATTACGAAATGAAGACATTTTATCAATTAAGAAACACGAACAGGAGTGCATTCCAACATGCTGTTGAAATGCCGCTGGGAAGGAACATACGACTTCATGTATAGATATGAATCTATAGATACAATTTTCATCGGAAACGGACAAGGAACATACGACTTCAAAAGGATATCTGCATGTAAAGCTAAAAAATGATAGTACGATAAAAGAAAAAAGAAGGAAACAAAGATTGCCTGCGAGAAAGCTCCAGAACGCGAACCCTTTTTGCCTGAGAGTCATCAGAGCAACCCAGAAGCGCAAGAATCCCACACATTTTTTGTCTATACCAAAGAACCCCACCCAGGAAAATCAAGAATAACAACTGGAACAAAGACGATATGGGAAGAGACTAAAAAAAAAAAAAAAGGGAGATCGAGAAGCCTTTGATTGAGAAAGGAACAAAACAGGAAACAGAGAAGGTGGTGCAGTGAAAACAGGGAAGATGAACACGTATCGCTCTGTTCTGTTGAAGGAGCTTGTGAGGTGAACACCTCCATCTAAAGCCACGTATTTATAAGCACGAGGAAGATCTTTCATATCATTGGTCCAGAAACGGCGCAGTCTCCCCACGTATTGGCCTATTACCAATTCTAACAACCGCCAATTCTCCACAGTAAGGCTCGGATAATATTAAGAATGATGCGGTTGCATATAGCAATGCTCGCGTGGGGTTATAATTTTACGATAATAGGAAATAGTTTTTGTATAATTATTTTATTTTATTTTTTTATATAATTTGAAGTGTTATTAAAATAATTAATTTTGTTAATTTATGTGATATTCGTGATATTGAATACATTTACTCATTTAATGAAATGTAAAAATTGTATAAAAATGTTATTCCTATAACACCACTCTTTTATAATTATATAAATATTTATTAGAGTAAGAATTTAAATAATTTAATAATAATTTTTTAATAAAATTAAAAATTTTGAGTTTAAATTATATGATTTATAGATAAGATAAATAAAAAAAAATAAAAAAAAATTATATTTTATCATACAATTTAATATAATATATATATATACACTTATTGTGATTAATGACATAGCTAGAAATTCATGTGGGGATAGGGGTTAAAATTTAATGTTACCAAATGAAATTGAATATTTTTAGAGGTTTAGCAATGTTTTTTCTTCTAATTGAGTCGAAATTCCTATCATATTATTCATTTAAACATAAGCATTTTCCTAATGACATTTTTGCATCTCTAATTTGAACTTAAAAATAACTAAAAATACATGTCAAAATAGTAATTCAAAATACAATCAAAGTAATAATTTATAAATTCATTCAATTAGTTTTTATTTTCTTTATTTTCATATTTCTCAACATCATAAAAATAATATCTAATGAATAAAAAAATAAAAAAAAGACTAAAATAATGTAAAATAAAAGATTTAAGAACAAAAATGATGTAAAAATAGAAGTTAAAGATTGCAAATTAACATCTCAAAATTTTTAGGTGTGCCTGAGTCCCTCGAGATCACCTGGCTCTATCATTACTTATGATATTATATTACTTATAATAATTATATAATTTCAATTAGGTAATGATATACATATAATTTTTTATATAATTTTTATATATTATTAAATAAATATAATATAACATTATAAATTTTAATAAAACAAATTAAAAAAATAATTAATTAAATAATATGTAAAATTATATATATAAAGAAAAAATGGTTCTACCTCCATCATAAACTTGCAGTAAAGTGATTTGTTTACTATTTTCCAGAATTCACAAACGATAAATTCCAACAATAATAAATGTCCCATTAAGTGAATAAATCCTGCAGTAATAATTTAAGCATTTTGTCGAGTAAAAAGATAAGGAGAACTAGGCTTTTAGCATACTTTTTTTTAACATTAATTGTTATGGAAAAATAAATTTTTATTTTTATTTAATAAAAAATAATTTATATGATATAAATAATAAAATTAATATCAAATTTTATAATTTTTAATA